ACAAAAACAAATACAGGCTTACACAAGTTTCTTTATTATGAGGTTTACTGGCTTTGAACAAATCTTATAAGCAGTAATAAATTGTTATGGCATAATGTCTGCTTAAGCCAATAAGCCAATACATGGGCATTTATAGCCAGTTTAGTTCAAATACAGTATTAACACAGATTAAGAATTAGTACATTTTACTAACACATATTCTGTTAACCCTTTGAAACACTCTTCGAAAATATCTACGAATTACAACTGGATTTTTTTGAGCACATTCTACCTTAAATCACCTAACATATGCTAAACCTTTATTTTCTTCATATTAAAACATCACTCGGATTCTTAATATAATTCCACCATCCCCCCCCTACAGCCTCATAAACACTACTATATTCGAACTTATCCCAGCCTTGACTTTCTTAACAAGATACAGGAGATCGAATTATTTTTAACTACAGAGAAGAATATCCAATCTAAAACGTATTGTTTTAAATTCGAATTATAACCAAATATGCGGAGGAGAACTAAGAAAGAAGTCTAAAATACACAGTAATCTTCAGCTAGGATTTGAAAGATTGTTCCCCTTTCTTCCAGAACGGAATATTTTTCAAATAGTACCAGCATTATTTTTTAGAAGTCTCAAAACATGTTAACATTTTCATTAGAACTTAAGCTAAAAGATGTGCATTTCAAATCGACATAATTTAACTTAATACTGAACTTTGACATCTTTTTGAGAATGACATTTAATTTGCATACTTAACAAATAAAATCATGCATGACAGGAAATTAATGAAACTGAAATGAATTCCAAATAATGGTCTAACATAGTAGTTAACTTAAAAATTTCAACACATTCATTGTAACTTACACGCATTTCAAACCAGCATTAATTTATTTAACATTGAACTCATACAGCTCTTTAAGAACAGTTGGCATATAATTTATCATGAACAAGAAATAAAATCATATATAAACATCATACGTAACAGATAATATTGAACTCCAAGTAATGATCCAACATGTCTGCAAATTTTTAAAAAATTTCACGCATTTTAGTAATCTAAGAAACACATAATTAATTTAAAATGGAGAAGCACTCCTTGAAAAGGAGGACAACATTTATTTCTATAATATATTATTTGTTTAGGTAGCTTAATTCATGCTAAAGAAAAACAGTGTAGGACAAGGGAAAAAATATAACGAATGTTTGTCATCAGATATTATTCTTTTCAACAAATATGCCTTTTAAGCTAAATGGGTATGAAATTTTATGCATATTATCAATTTAAAATCGTATTTCATTAATGTCACACCTTTCATTCCTTTTGGACAAATAATTCCTGCACTTTCATCAAAATACTAAGTAAGAATAGGTAATAGGTTTTATTTACCCTCATTATTACCTTTAATTAATAGAACAGAGAATCCAAACCACAAGAAGGAAGAACTTTTTTAATTACATCTTTCTCTGTTAATTATGACTTTCTTTTTTTTTATCCCTCCCATTTTAGCTGCCTCTGTTCATTAAATAGTTAAGCAAGAATTAAGTAGTTAAAGTTGTAAGTTTAATTGTTGTTAATTCTAACTAACAATAAACTAGCTTGCATTACCCTCAGCCTGCATACACATTTTAGTTCAATGTTGAAAATTTTAGTACAGAAAAGGTACTGACATTTGAGCAGAATTTCGAATACGTTTTCTCACCAGCCGACTCGATTTAGGTTCGGTTCCTGGACAGCAGTTTGGTTGCCTGGGAATTTTGTTGTTTTTGTTCGATACGCGCCAGTTTTCCTTGAACATTCCCCATGAAGGCGTCCCATTTAAAGAAAATAACCTTTGCAAGTTTTTCAGTAAAAATTTAACCAACCAATCGAATGCGTTTTTATGGTCGTCGTTAATAGTATGATGATCGAAATCTCTTTTGCCTTTATTTGTAAGGATGCGTAAAATTCATCAATAAACATGACGAGAAAAACTGAGTTGCCACCTGAGGCAGTCCCTGAATTCGCCGCCCGTCTTAATATACAAACAAATAACTTAAAAATAAATAAATAAAAATAAATAAATAAATAAATTAAATAATAATAAAAGTCAAAATCATACATGAGAAAATAAATTTAAACTCTAGATTTATTTTTGAAGTAAAAAATCTAATTACAACATTTTTAATTATTATTATTATTATTATGCTTTGTTCTCAAAACCCATCGATTACATCACAGAGATCTACTTTCTGGTTGCTGTAATGCAAACAGAAAAGATTAGATTATGGAAAGATTTATTAAATAATCATTTGTAGGTTTTATAAATAAATACTTTAAATACTTTAATACTTTTTAAATTTAATTTAATTTAAATACTTTAAATATTTTTTAAGTGCAAAATAAACATTTATAGCTCTAAAATTACTTCCTAAGTGATTTTTATTTAGAAAACTATTCTCACAACAAACATCATTTACAACAGTTGCCGAGAAAGTTATAATAGTACTACAATGTTAGGAAAACTGTTCTCGAGCTTGTATTTTAGAATAAAGTAAAAAAATTCAAAAGGACCGACTTTTCACTTTCTTGCTTCATTTCCATAGTAATAACGGAAATAAAACTCTTGAAATACTTCCCTCTGAGAAAGAAATTTTTCTTTGTTAGTTTAGCTGATATTGGTAACTTTCCTTTTAAAATTTAGACGGAATAAAAAAGGTATAACAAAGCTATGCAGCTACTGAAATCTCCTGGCGATTTCTTTGAATACTTTTTTCGCTTAATTTAATTGGATATGCAATTCAGAATATCATTATTCTTTATATGTTCCGACGATTCACATGACTAACCATTATAACATAATATTTCACGCGAAAATTCCACCTCCAAAAATGTGCCGCCACCCGGGGCGAATCATTCCCCTCTAGCTACTCCACTTTAACAAGAGCGACTGAAAAGAAACATTAGGTCATTGAAGGGCATATAGATTTCCTTCCGAGAATTCCTTTAAAAAAAATTAGCTGATGAAATAGTGTACAGTGCAGTTCAATACGGAATAAGGGTTCTGAACTCGCCCGTAATTCGTATATTTTAATAAAACTACTTATGCTTGGAAAAAAAAGACCGGACATTCCATCACATTTTAAAAATGCCTGGCGGACAGTGGTATAAAAGGAGGACATGTCCTCCGAAAGCCTGACATCTGCTAACTCCTTGTTGCTTTGTCGAATCCAGACAAGCATGCAATTAAACAAACGAACATAAAGTACGAAATGGTTTGGTTTTTATTTTATTAAGTTTTAATTTATTTTTTCTGTTTTACTTTAATTTACGTTAATATGAAATGAGGAACTTGAGCAAGCGCAAATGAAAAGAATTAACTTCTGGGGGGGGGAACCCCTAAAAAGCACTGGAATGTATTATTCACGGATAACTTGTAAATCGGATACGTAATGGTCTGAATGTTTTAAGAAGTCCTGTGAATTACTGGTCGAAAGATGACAGAAATTAACGAAAACTGAATGCAGATTCCTATTTTTTTTTAATTCATAATTTGATAAATATCTCGATATAACTTGGCATACATTTTCGTCTGATTTTATCTCTATTATTGCTTTTTAAATTAGAGGATGGTCAATCGGAAATCTATTGTAACGGATTTAATTACTTTGGATTATGACAAAACATGCGAAGGCTGTTTACCTAAGGGTTTGACTTGATTTGGTTGATTTATGTGATTAAGGCGAAAACCCCGTGGGCTAGGAGGGATGCCTTCGTGGAGGACTTTCTAAGGAAAACTGGCTTGTATATACGTTACACATGGGGAAAAGCACGAAAACGCTCTTGCAGCCAGCCCGTTCGCGGGATTCGAACCTTGGACCGAACTACCAGTGTTCAGCGACTTTACCACTCGGCCGCTTTTGGGCCTGTTTACCTAAGGGAAGGGAGGCTGGTATCCACATTACGTCGGGAAAAAATCGCGAAAACTTCCCTGCAGCCAGACTTCTGCAGAGATTTGAATTTGGATAAACTACCACAGTGTTCAGGTGTCTGGACTTTGCTGTAACGGATTTGGTTTCCAAAACAAGGATCAAAAGTTCCATAGTCAGTGTATGTTAGTTCTAACGTGTGTACGTTCTTCATTAATTCTTAGCAAAAAAATTTCTTAAGCAAGTAATTAGCAATGGCTGCTCATGCATTTTTTTTGACAAGAAGGGAAAAAAAAAATCCACTTCGTAATAAAAATAAAAATAAAAATAATTTTTTTTGCAAGTAATAGACCTAAATTATTCATTAATAAGAAGACAAGTAACTACTTCAAGATTTTTAACCAGTAAAATTTAAGTCAATTAAAATATTTCAGAGAAGGAGGGTTTCCTATTATCCTTGCGAAGAAGAAGAATGTTATTCTTTGATCGTTTCGAATAATTAAAACGAAATCATGTTAACAAAAAATTTTAACCAGATTTTATGTATTGGTTTCCTTTTTTTAGATCTGTAAAGAGATGCATTTTATAATTTTGGGAAAGAGGAGTTCAACCTTTCACATTGTTTTGGTGTTGATCTCAAACATATTGTTTACTTTTCCATTTGACATTGAATGTATTATACATTTAACTGCGTATCGTACAAATGTATACTGAACGCATACCCTCATATATATAACGCAAGGGAATGAAGACGGAAGAACGGCGCGTTTTCTTGTGCCCCGTATTTTGAAAAAAGGACTTCACGTCGGCTAAAAGAGATATTTTACCCGGCTGGACAGCAGAAAATACCGAATTTTAATGGAAACATTCAACGATGCCGCTCTTCTTCGTGTAGAAGATACCGACCGTTCACCCAGGTTTGTCACCTGGTTTGAAAAATAACGAGGGATTTTCTCTTTGGTTGCATTTTTATTCTTTTATTATTATCATTATTTGTGATACACAATGCAAGGAACGAGCGGCGCTGCAATCGCATGACGCAGTATGTGTCTGAAGCTCTGGTGTTTATCTATCATCTCTTGTAGGCTGGTGGAACTGCAACGCCTGTGCGGTGAACGTACTGCGATTACTTCGCTGTTTGGCACCAGTATGTAGTTAGTGAGCGCTGCCCTTCTAGCGAGAATGATATTCAGCAAATTTGCAAATAGTGTCAGACAATGCTGGCATCGGAAATGAATTGTTTCCGTTACTTCGTAAGTTGCTGATAAGTAATAATTTCCCAGTGAATCGAATAAAGGAAACTAAACGGATTGCAATTGAACATGCACAAAACCGAGAGTGTAGTGAATCGGTGGTTGTTATTTTGATATTCCCACGTGGTTCCAAAAGTCATGAAGGGAGGAGAAAATTTAGTTGTTAAAATGACCTTACAAAGACAGAACTGTTATAATGAATGTCAAATGTAAACAAACGAGCTCGTAAGGAGTAGTTTCATTATTTGTTGAGCTGGCGAAAGCTTAGTGGCATTTCAATAGTATTAATGCTGTGATGAAATAGTACTATTTTCTTTTAATTCATTTTAAAATTCCCCATAAAAGAAAGTGACATTTTGTGTAGCGTAATTATTAATCGTTATAAAGTGATCAGTGGAGTTGTCACTAAGGAAAAATTACAGAATCGTTTGACAACTCTTACGAAAAATGTGCGTGTATGAAGCAAAACGTTAACAATTGCGAAAGACTTTTTTGAAGCAAAAAAAGCCATGTTGAATTAAACCAATGGCTTGGTATTTTTTGAAGTCCAGTAATGATAGTTTGTTGTTTCTTAGAAATATGTGAAAATTCAGAGTAATACAAATTGATGGAGCAAAAAAATTTGCATTAGCATTGCAAATGCAGAAAATACTGTTTGTGGTACACTATATTAACAACTTTATATGCATCATGCTATAAACATATTCTATCTTTTTTTTTTTTTTTAACATAAACTGCTGTAATTCCCAACTTGTTGATACTGTGTTGGAAGTCAGGACATACTGTAATTACAGATCTTGGTAAGTTAACTGTAATTTTATTACTTATCATTAGCCATCTCATTTTTTTGTATCATTTTATTTGATTTGGCTTTGAAATTTACTTTTTACTTAAGTGTAAAATTTTTCTTGGGAAGTTATAAATGTTTATGTAGTTAAGTATTTATAAGGAGTTTTATTCAGTCATGTATTACAGAAGTAAATCCAAGTAACTTCCCAATTCAGGAAGTTTAATGTTACCTAAGTGATATCTGGTACCTTTCCAGTTTGATTTGATTTCATAAATCAGATGTAATTTAGTAAAGTTAGAGTAGCAGCTTAAAAATCATGTTCATAAAATTCTTTTAAAATGTTTTATGGAACATGTCAGATTATGTCATATTTCAGGATATGTTAAATTTCCCTCTTGTAAATATTGCGGAAGTGTTTGCTTTAGAAGCATTTTTAATTGTAAGTCATAGAATTTTGAAAAAGATGAGAATTTATGTGCTAATGTTTTTTGTTGAAACATGATGTGGAATTTGTTCATTTGTATTGTATCGGACATTTTCCTTGAAAAGGTATGAATTACCAGCTGTTCAATATAAAGTCCTGCAGAAATAGCTAGGGATTCCTGTAGTAAAAGCTGGAAGAAAATATTTTTTGAAGCCTGGACAGAGAGTGTCTGTAGCTCTCTTTGATGGAGTATTAGCATCAAGTAAAGTAGATAATTTAAAATAATTTTTTGCTATATTTGGTGAACCATTAAGCCATGCTTAGTTGATAATAATCATAACTAGATTAAGACTTGGAGGCTCTAAACACTTAGAAGATTTTGGTGCTCCCATATACATTTACAGTATAATACTTGAATTTTTTTTTCCATTTCTTCTCTCATGGTCTTAGTTTAACTATACCACACATCATGGTAAAACCTAGCAACAAAAATTTTTTCCCTCAGTATCTTTTGCAGTGCCTTTTCTTGATGCCCAATGCATGTGCTTTACTTGTTTTAATTATTTGAAATGCACAAAGAATAACATGTTTCTTCTCCACAAGGATAACAGGAAACCCACCTCTGAAATAATTTGATTAAAATTTTTCTTCTTAAATAATACTGGTTAATCCAGCTCATAGCCTGTACATTAATTTGATAGCGTTTTAACCCTTCCAGCATTATGGATTTATTTAGCCCTGAAATTTCAAAAGTTCCTCAAAATGTCATGAATAAATGGTATTTTCTTGATTGTAATTAAAAAACAACTTTCTCACTTTGTACCTGATTCCTTGTCTTCCAATATCCATCCAACCCAAAATCGTATACATTAAAAGCTGGCAGAAATTTTCAGGTGTAATTAATGCAAAAGCCAACCTTCTATATGGAATTTTCCATCCATAATGCTGAGAGGGATAAAATGATTTATATTTTCTGTTACTGGAAAAATACACAATAGTCTTTTTAAATAAATTTATATTCACATTTTTGCTTTGTCTAAATAGGACTTAAAAAAAAAAAAAAAAAGTCTGCTCTTAATGAAGTCTTGGTTATCTGCTACGGTGATATGTGTATTTCTCAGATATATTTGGTGTCAAGAAGCAGTGGCATTGCTAGAGCTGCCTGGGGCAGTGTTTGAATTTGTTGTCTGTCGTGATATACAAGCAAGTAATTCACAAAAGTTTATTTTTAAAGAAAAACTGTATTTTCAATGTTTTAAAATCATACCATTCTGCTTGTTTTTTTTTTTTTTTTTTTTTTCCACAAAATCGCTGATGACACTTTGAAGGTCTACTTGATTTCTCCAGTTGCTGTTACACAGATAGTATGGAAAGATTTTTTTTTAAATGCAAAACAAATATTTGTAGTTCTTAAATAATTTTTAATTAAACAACACTCTTCACAAGGCGTAACACTTCCAATAACTGCAAAAAACGTTCGCAGTAGTATTACAATATTTGGAACTTTGTTCGGCTAATCTTTAGAGAATAAGCTGCAAAAATTCAAAAGGACCAACTTTCCTCATTCCTGTTTCATTTCTTTTAGTATTAATAGAAATGAAACTGAGATATTTCTCTCTTAATGAGGAATTCTTCCTTGTTAACATCACTGTGATCATAATACAGTTGGTATTCGTAATTTTCAAAAAGTTTCAATGGAATAAAAAAGGTGTAACAAGGTATGAAGCTTTGAATAAAAATTATTTCATTTTTTTCTCATTTTAAATCGGTATGCAATTCAGAGTATCTTCGATGATCCACATGATCCCCTAATAAAATAATGTTTCACACTAGATATGCCCCTCCTCCCTGATTTATAATGGCTTAAAAATCTTATTTGGAGGTTGTGACCTGTTTAAACAGGAAAATGTACAAATCTCATTCAGTAAAAAGCTGGACTGATTATTTAAAATAATTCAAAAATTAATAATGTATATGGAAAAAAAAGTAATTATATTAGCCATGACTGGTGTCAGAGCCAGTGTAACTCTGCAGCTGCACAGGGCAGCAGAATTTTTGGAATTTAAAAAGGAGGAAGTGGGTAACAAAAAGCTCTGATATTAGCTACATATTTTTTGCAGAATGAACAATAATATTAATTTGTATACGAATTTTGCATGTTGCAGATATTATTCTGAGTTTAAAAGTATAGGTTTACAATTTTTGCAATTTAGGGATGTCTTTTAATGTCCTTGCTGGTAATATTTTATAATTCAAGGGCAGATCCAGTCTTTAAAGGAATATTAATGAGAAAAAAAGTATTTCCTAAGAGTAAAAAAAAAAAAAAAAAAATTAAAAATTTTTTTATTACTTTATGATATTTGTTTTTATTTAAAGATGTGAAATGCGATATGTTAAAGCTGCATTTCTGTGTTACACTTAATTTACCATGCTAACCATTAGGATTACCATTTTCATTATTATTACTTTGTATTCTGTCTTCTTGGTAAAAAACAGTTTAATGATTTCTGTAAAATTTCAGTTCATGTTTGATTCATATTTGAAGTGTTTGTTCACTTTGTTACCAGCAGGTATTCTGAGTGATATTTGTGTAGATCTGGTTTTTCTAGCTATTGGTCATATTTGGTTTTTCAGTTGGGAGGATATTTTTGTTTCTGAGGAGAAGAAACTATTGAAATTTAACCAAACCATTATGTTTCTTGAAATACATTTTACGTTTGTAGTTGCTATCAAAACCAAACATACAGTAATTATAACATTTAAGTCCATGTGCAAATCTTAAACTATATTAAATCTACTAAATATAGTAAGTTAAATACATGATTTTTTTAAAATTAGTATAATATTATTTTATTGTAATTTAATTGCAGAAATAATCATTAATTATACTGCTTGTGATATTTTAGTTTCCTTTTAAAGATGTTAAGATAAAGTATATGATACTTTATCGTATATGGAAAGGGTTACCATTGTATTAAGATAGGTAACCACCATTTCGTGTCCAATCCCCTTTTCCTCTTGCTTAACTCTCGGAGCTGCAAGACTTTTTATCTAGCCATGAGATTGTTGTTGCTTAGTATATATTACCTTGTAATTTTAACTATTTAGTTTTCTTATTTTTCTAATGATCTAAATCCACTAATAAATGTAACACTAATGTGAAAACAGAGAATAATGCTCTTTAAATGTAGCAGTTCGTGAAAGAAAATCCAAAATGCTATGTTGCTTAGAGGGTCAAGATATTGTAAAAAAATTAATGTAATAAATACATCATAAGTGTAGCAAATTAAATCATTTAGATATATAAAAGGAAGAGTATATGTTTCATTTGTGCTGCACATAAGCTAATAGACCCAGGGCTATGAAATTTGGTACATAGTGTGTATCTAGACAACAGCCAGTGCACCTCAAAGTGATTTTTCTCAAAATTCGAATGAGATTAAAGAAATCATATCAAATCCATAATTCTTTCCCATTATATCAGCAACAATGGCACACAGCTATTGTTGCTGATATATCACTGTTGCCATTGTTGCTGATGTCAGCACTATTGCTACTCAGAAAAATGAGGGCGAAAATTCTGTGCAGTTTTTAGTGTTTCTCTTGGATAGTGGACGTTTGTGGAGAGAAGGCAATAGGAAGTTGGTTAATTTATTTATTAGGATAATTAATGTTTGTATTAAAGGATATTGCTTATTTTATTTTTTTATATGTAATACATTTGTATTGAATTTTTTTTTTTGATAAAACTGTTCTGCAGAGTAAAATTCTGTGCAGTTTTTAAATTTAATGTTTGGTGTTCTCTATACATATTTTTCTGGTACATTTAAAAGCCACACGAAGGCTATTCATAAATATTGTACATAAATGCATAGAAAAAATTTGTCTTAAATTTGAAATTTTCAAGCAATTGGGAGCTGACTAGAATTAAAATGAAAAAAAAAAAAAAAAAAAACTATCCAGCTATATTGTAGAACATTTGAGAGAAATTATATTTTGAAGCAGCACTTTAGTGCATTTATCGTTAAGAGATATTGAACTTCAGAATCTATGTAGTCTTTATCTCAGCAGAAAAATAGTTAATTTTGGTTTTAATATCATTTTGAGCAAATTCAATCCCTACTTACTTGAATCTTCTTTTCCCAGTTTGAGTTAATTCAAAGTAAATACTAAAACATCCCAATATAAATTCTAAACAAATATTGAATCGAACTTGCAAATGAACATTATACTAATTATATTTAAATGGAATAGTAAAATACTCACCAGAAATTTTTAAAAAAATGTTAAATCAACTGCTAGACATTTGCTAGTTAAGCATTTGTTAGAAATGGCTGAACCCATCTCACTTAACTATATCATCATTGAGAACTTTACTTAGGGGTTGACTGATATAACATCTAGTAAAATAAGGATAAACTATTACATACATTCATGCTTTCTCCAAGGTTCAAATCTAAGGCAAATGACGTAACAGCCATCTCCTCTAACTACAGATTAGAGCAGCAAACTGAAAAAAGTTGTGAACTACTCTTCTCACTAGTTAAATTTTTATAATTTTAAAAAAAAGTTTAATTATTTATTAT